AACCAAAAAAGAATCCCCCTCGTCCTCACGTACCACCCCACCAACCTCCGGATCCAACGCATCATCCTCCGACACTTCCGCCATCTGCAATCCGACCCCACCACCAAAGACATCTTTCCCTCCCCACCCTTATCTGCTTTCCGGAGGGACAACTCTCTCCGTGACTCCCTTGTCCGCTCCACACTCCCCTCCAGCTCCACCACACCTGGCACTTTTCCCTGCAACCGCAGGAAGTGCTACACCTGCTATACCTCCTCCCTCACCCCTATCCCAGGCCCCAAGAAGACTTTCCACATCAAGCAGATGTTCACCTGCACATCTGCCAATGTGGTATACTGCATCCGCTGTACCCGGTGTGGCTTCCTCTACATCGGGGAAACCAAGTGGAGGCTCGGGGACCACTTTGCAGAACACCTACGCTCGGTTCGCAATAAACAACTGCACCTCCCAGTCGCGAACCATTTCAACTCCCCCTCCCATTCCTCAGACGACATGTCCGTCCTGGGCCTCCTGCAGTGCCACAACGATGCCACCCGAAGGTTGCAGGAACAGCAACTCATATTCCGCTTGGGAACCCTGCAGCCCAATGGTATCAATGTGGATTTCACAAGTTTCAAAATCTCCCCTCCCCCTACCGCATCCCAAAACCAGTCCAGCTCGTCCCTGCCTCCCTAACCTGTTCTTCCTCCCACCTATCCCCTCCTCCCACCTCAAGCCGCACCCCCATCTCCTACCGACCAACCTCATCCCGCCCCCTTGACCTGTCCGTCCTCCCTGGACTGACCTATCCCCTTCCTAACTCCCTACATACTCTCACCTTTACTGGCTCCATCCCCGCCTCTTTGACCTGTTTGTTTCCTCTCCACCTATCCTCTCCTCTATCCATCTTCTTTCCGCCTCCCACTCCCTCCCTATTTATTTCGGAACCCCCTTCCCCTCCCCCTTTTCTGATGAAGGGTCAAGGCCCGAAACGTCAGCCTCTCTGCTCCTATGATGCTGCTTGGCCTGCTGTGTTCATCCAGCCCTGCACCTTGTTGTCTCTTACTTTTGAGGGCTTCATTTATGGATTGCAATGTTGAGTCACTTTGCACAGGTCAGTGAAGATCATGGTCTTGCATGACATACCAGTGTCTATCTGACAGTTTATGTTGACCTCTGTTGTTATGTTGTTCTCTGTCTGTAATACTCATTTCAACAGTTACAATACCATATCTTACTGATCAATTTGACTGAATCAGCCTGCTTGTATGGTGTGAGATGATTCATCAGAATATTCCATCATTATTCCTCCAGTGGCTATCTGCACCTGCTTGTTTTGCTTCTTTTTAACCAAATGCTAAATGATGCGTGTGTGAAATGTTTCAGGATTATTCAGTGAGAACACTGGGTTCCCTACAACTGATATGTCACCTTCTCTTTTGCATGATGTCTTCCACAGCATTTGCATTCTGCCTTTTGTCTTTGATTGTTCTGACCTGTGTGCCCAGAATATCTGTCAGCATAATGCAAGACTTGGTCTGCTCTGCTATGAATAAACTCAATCTGTTAATTCACAACCTTGGCACTTCTACATGTTGATTGTTCTCCTGAGTATAAGTTTGTCTTTTTTAAATGGGTGTGCTTTCACTGCTGATCCCTTGTGTCCAATACAATCTTGTCTCTAACTAGTTTATCCTTTAATTGTGCAAATTCGAAGATTTCTGTAAACTGAGTTAATGATACATATTAATCACTGACTCTTTTTCATTTCATTCCCTAATATTGAATATGCACTGGTCGTATATAAAATTCACTTAAAGTTCACAGTATGCCTTCAAAACTTTTAAAATTTATATTTGTTTTTGTTGTTGAGAAAGATTTAGCATGAAATATATTTTGAAACTGTATTTTCTCAACAGTGATAAAAGTGTGGTGACATACACTTGTTCTGTTTGCTCAACGAATCCATTGCTATTGCATAATTCTACCATTATTCATGGAAGAGTTCCCAATTTTATCTTCAAGTTATATTAAAAGGAGGTGATATAGAATCATGGAAGCAGGCTATTTGGCCCATCAAATTCATAATGACCCTCCAAAGAACATCCCACCCAGACCCACTCCCGTACCTTATCCTTGTAACCACGCATTCCCCAAGGCTAATCCACTTAACCTGCACATCCCTGGACACTATGGACAATTTTGCATGGCCAATCCACTTAATCTGCACATCTTTGGATATGGGAAAAAAACTGCAGCCATTTTCCCTGAAGCAGACTCCCTCTCAGCTTCACATTTTTCTTTATCAGTGGCAGCTCACAGATTTGTAGCTCCAAACACTCACTACTTCTGATTCCAAGTTTCGAGTGCAGAACCTAACAATGTGTTCAACACAAGGACTTTATTGAAGGGAAGCTTAAGATTTCCACCAACAGGGTGTGTGCCTCATGGTAGAGGCCACATGACTACAATAAACCAGAACAGACATTTGTACATGATTGTATTTCAATCCAAATAGAAAGAAAAGTTCAGGGCCACTAGAGGAAAATGGTCAAGGTATAGAGTAAGAATAGCCCTATATACTGTTTTTGGTGTTGAAGGAAACATAATTACCAGACCATGATTGGCAATGAGCAAGCCATCAGCCACAGCTTCCCATGTGGAATGCTGGGCTATTTAATGGCAGCCTTGGAGGACTCGAACATCAGCAGCAGATCATGTCATTGGCCTGTGTTGTCTCTTTCAGGGGAAGCTCACTGCACTAAAGTTTAACTGGTCAGCAGCAGGCCTTCATCCAGTTTCAAGGACCCTGGGGGTAGAGATTTCATCTGGTATTTTCAGTTTGGGGATAAGTTTACAATGTTAAATTAGTCTTTAATTATAGAATTGAATCAAACTTGAGTTTTGTTTCACTTCTTTAAAAAGCTCAACATGAAAAGAAATAACAGAAGCAGAGTACAGTCAGACATCATCAGATTTAAATATCCATCGGGCATTATCCAGGCAGCACAGTGGGTTTTGTATTGTTAGGAATTAAACATTCAGATCCGTCCATTCACACAAAAATGAATTCTGCCTGTATCCTTTTCTCTCCCCTATCAACACTCTTTCTTCACGCCGCGACTTTTCTTAAACTATCAGGAATTAGGTTTTTATTTCAAACCGTCTTCTGTTGTTCCATGTACTTTTTTTTTATCTTAGCAGGTAATAATGCGCTTCACAAATTTTAACTTTCCCCCTGTAATGCTATTTGGAGGAATAAAAGTATGTTGGTACCCCAAGTCAGAGCTATGAGAGTGGGCAGATTTTGGGGGGTGGGGGAAGGAGGGAGTCATTCAGTTTATCAGCAGCTTTTGCCAACATATAACACTCACTCACTCACACAGACTCTCTCTCACTCTGTCACGTACTCACTTATTCAGTTTCATCACTTACTCAATCTCACTCGCTCACTCTCTCTCTCTCTCTGTCACTCTCACACACACATGTGTTTGCAGGTGAAATGAGCCATTTGCTGGTCACTATGTTAAACTCACTGAGTAGTGCAGATTCTCAACAGAACCATCCAGGACACAAGGCAGCAAAGAAAGTAAAGGGGGCACTTTACTGATTTTGGCACATCTCAATGGGCCAATGATTGCTTACACAGAATAACAGCAATAATTGGCTGATTAGCCTGTCGATAGGGATGGTCAGCACCAGATTAGCTTCTCTGAGGACTGGGCCACCCAGCATCAGCCCTGATGCCTAGCACTTGTCCAACTGCTCTCTCAATTTCTGCTGCACTCCATGGCCAGCATGGAGTTGAAACACCCATATTCCATCAGCCATCTCCTGTTTGAGAAACCCTGAGGTAGTACATTCCAAATCTTAACCACTTGTGCATAAAGAAAATTCTCCATGTCACCTCATTTGTT